TTTCCGCACCCCTGCCCCCCCCGCCGGCTCCCGGGCCCTCCCGCCCTTTCCGCTCCCCCCCGCGTCCGCCCGCTCCGAGAGCAGGAGCCAGAAGGGGAAGGAAGTGAGGACAGCAGCCAGGGCCGCGGACGCGGGGAGCGCTGGACAGCCCGGGGTCGGGACCTGGGGGCCCTGGCCCGACTGCCGCCGCCTCCCAGGCCCCCGCTGCGGGATTCTGCAGCCCATTCGCCCGCACTGAATTGGGATCAAGATTCCAAGCCGGGCCTGGTGGCGCACGCCTCCAGTAGTCCCCGCACTCGGGAGGCTGAGGCAGGAGGATCGTCTTGAGTTCAAGGCCAGCCTGGACTTACACGTAGCGAGACCTTGTCTCAAAATGCAAAAAAATTTTTCTCAGTGGGGAGGCTCCGGGGGAAGTCAGGAACAGAATTTGACATCCCTTCCCCAAGAAGAACAGGCCAGTACTGCCGCGGAAGGCGCTTTATGCGGAGAAGACCCCGCCACGACACTACCCGACTAGGTGGCTGTCCCCATTCCAACCCCGGAGTGCAGTGGACCGAATCCATTCCACGTTTTCTGCGGGTCCCTTTGCCCCGCCTACTCGGGGGCGGGACCGGAAGGGCCCACTTCCGGTTCCGCTCTGCTCTGGGGTGTCCGCGGCGCGTGGGTCCGAGCGGTCCGCCTGAGGCTGTCTTTCCCGCTACCTGGCGCCTGACCCCACCCTGTTGGATGTCTCCGGCGGGTGGGAAACTGGGGGGAACGGGAAGGGACCAGAGTTGACTAGAAGATTCGTCGTGCTTGGGAAGAGGTAAAATGAGACACTCGGTTAGAAGCACTGGAACACAACTTTATTCCCACACAAGCAGCCCCGCCCGAGCGGCCGCTTCCGGCCCCGCACCGATAAGCAGCGCCCTCGGGCGGGCGCCGGCACACCCTGGCGCGGAACGTTCCGCCGGAACGCGGGCGGGAGGGGAGACGGGCATCTAACTGCGCGGCGCAGGAGCGTTTCAGTACCGCAGTGGCGAGCCGCGGAGTGTAGACGCGCGGCAGGCGGGAAAGGCGCAGGGGAGAGGAAGGGCGCGGCCGGACGCTAGATGGGGCAGGAGAGGTAGCAGGGGGTCGAGCGCCAGGGACCCCGGTGGGCACGAGTGGATCCGGCCCCAGAGCGGTTGCCCAGGCGGGACTACTTGGGATCCAGGCTTTTCCTAGCAAGGTAGGATTTGCCTTTGTGATCTAATTCTTCTAAGAACACACGGTGCAGCGCTCGACATCGACACGGTGGCTCTCCTGATGAATGCAGCGTGTGCTTATCTAGTCTCCCATTGTAAGTTTTTTTCTTTTTTCGAGACACAGTCCCACCAGGTAAGTAGCCCAGGGTAGCTGCCTGAGTGCTGGGACGACAGGGTTGCTCAGTGAGATACCTCACCCACCCTTTGTCGTTCTTGAGGCAGGTTCTCCTTAAGGTGCCCAAGCTGGGCCCCAACATTCGATCCCCCTGTCTCAGCCTTCCAGAATGCCAGGATTACAGGTATCTGCCAACTGTTTCCAAATTCTAGTATAATAAATATCAGCAGTTATAGCCGAGTGTGGTGGCACATGCCTGTAATCTCAGTACTCAGGAGGCTGAGGCAGGAGGGTCAATGCAAGTTTGAGGCCAGCCTGGGCTACACAGTGAGTCCAAGGCCAACCTGAGCTACATAGTGAGACCCTCTTGCAAAAAAAAGTTAGAAAACCAAAACAAATAAAATATTTTCTAAATACCGTCAGTCGTTAGAGCCCATGTAACAAAAGGTCTTTAGGGTCTTTGATATTTTTTCATAGGTCCTGACACCAAAAATCTTGAGAACCCCTGCCCTAAAAGCTTTAAAAAGGTGAAAGCCATAAAATGTGTCTTTTAAAACAATTAGGTGGGGGAGATGCCTCAGTGGCACAGTGACTGCCTGGCAAGCACAAGGTCCTGAGTTTGATTCTTTGTACCCAGAAAAAAAAATTTAAGTCTCTTAGTGGAGAGTTTGGAGAGAGCAGAGAGTGGGAGCAGATGATGGGGTACCAGTTTGGGGAGATGCTACAGGGCTTTAGGCCTGAGATGTGCGCAGCTTCCAGGATCATGGGCAGAGCATCTTCACTGTGTTTTCTGGAAAAGAATTAAGGGGGGAGTGAGGAATTGGGGGCTTCAGGAGATGGAGTTAGGTACATACAGTTCATCAAGGTGGAGAAAGCAAGAGGCTACCTGCCAGATACTTCACAGAGGGCTGTATCTCCTGCATCTTCTAAAAGATGTGCACCACCTCGTCTAACCATCCTAAGACTCAATCATCCTAAGACACACCGCCTTGCAGTGTGACAGCCATCACACTGGGGTCAGTGATGCCACCAGTGTGGCAGCCCCCGGGGGTGGAACCCAGGGCATCAAGCATGCTAGGCAAGGGCTCTGTAATTGAACTACATCTCAGCCCTTGTTAGATTTTTTTTTTTTTTTTTTTTTTTTTTTGGTTTTTCTCTGGTACCAGGAACCGAACTCACAACCTTGCACTTGCCAGGCAGGCGCTTTTGCCGCTGAGCTAAATCCCCAGCCCCGTTAAATTTTATTTTTGAGGCAGGGTCTGGCCTTAAACTTGTGCCTCTACTATCCCTGCCCTTGCAGGAGCTGGGATTACAGGCATGTGCCACTGCACGTGGAACCTCGCTCTGTATTTGTATGGGACAGAACTGCCTGAGTTTTTCAGTCCCCACACCCAGGGGAACAGATGTAGCATATTCAGGGGCCCCACCCACTAGGATACAGAGCAGGTGTGGTTCCTCTCACCACACTCGAGGGATGAGTTGGGGACGGGGTGAAAGAAAGAAAGAGAAGGGGAAGTGAAGGTGGTTACCTCCTTTGGGTCGTGTTCAGCTAGGCAGCTGTGGAAAGGTGGATGGGACAAGGGTGGGGGGTGGCTGGCTGGCTGCTTGGAGGAGTGGGAAAGTGTCCTCCCGTCACGGTCAGGGGGACTCAACTCACCAACCCAGACAGCACCTTGATGAGTCCGAGGACCAGAAAGGCAGACAGGAAGAGACCGACACCATCCTCCAGCGAGGGCCCGGAAAGGCCTGGCAGGCGAAGGGGAGGAGTGAACTTCCCGTCTTGCAGGGCACTGCCAGCTCCACAGCCCTTGAGGCTCTTACCTGCCACTTCCACGGTGACCACCGCGCGGTGCCCCGAGGCAGGCAGGCTGGGGTGGCGGACCCGACAGACGTAGCGCGCCCCATGGTGCTCAGCGGTGACGGGGGGTGGCCGAAAGTGCCCAGAGACGCTGACAGAGCCGTCCGAATGGTGGTGCAGGGACGAGACCCACCTCTCCCCCTTGGCCCTGCGCAAGCCGCCCTCTGGGCCCCCTTGGAGCTCCCACTCCACCTCCAGGCCCTCGGGGGGGTAGAAGTGGGACGCCAGGCAGAGCAGCTCTGGGGGAGCCTCCCCGGGGGCAGCCCAGACAAGGGGAGCCGGCGTCAGTGACACTTCAGGTGGCTCTGGGGAAAAGAGCGAGACAAACATGGAGGATCTCAGTTTGTCCTCGGGCATCCCTAAATCTGGGGGCAATCTGCAGCGACGGGAAACCCACTGTCTCCCCACTGGTGCTCCCTAGGAACCCCCAGGACAAAGCCCCTCATTCTCAGGGACCCCACCCCCTCCCAGAGCCCCCAACTCCCCGCCGCGTCCTCCCAGTGTCCCGAGACCCTGGCCCCCACTCACTGTGCACAGCAAGCTGCAGGGCCACCTGTCCTTGCAGGTACGGCAGGTGCACGGTGGCCAGGTAGGTGCCCTCCTGAAAGGGTCGCACTGCAGGCAGCCAGAAGGTGCCATTCCCAGTCCACGGGCCCCAAGGCTCATCATCCCAAGCAGCAAAAGCCACTGCCCCCTCTCGGGCTGCTGGCATCTGCCCGTCCAGGCCAGGAGTTGCGGCCAGGAGCAGGTGCCCCTTACCCAGGTGCTGGCGTCTCCACTCCAGCCCAAAGGGAGGGGGACCCGAGGCCAGGGTGGCAGCAGGCTCAGGGGTCGGGGGCATGTAGGTGAAGCTCAGGTCCAGCACGGCATCCTGTCCCAGTAGGATTCGGGGAGCAGGGGTGTGGGTGAGGACAGTGAGCACCACTGCGAAGAGAGGGGCAGGAGGGGGACACGGGGGTTACTCTGCTCAGCCACCCTTTGGAGCACAGCGCCTTCAGCCCTCCCTGCAAGTCCCCTTTACCCTGGAACAGCCTCGGGCTGGCATGGCAAAGAGGGTGTTCCCCTTCAAGCCTGCTCTAAACACGGCCCACTGGAGCTCTGGGAATGGATTTTTTGTTGTTTTTTCCTTCCAGACAGGGAGACCTGGTCTCAAGCCGGTCTCAAACTCACATCAAGCCTCCTGCCTCAGCCTCTCAAATGCTGGGGTTATAGGCATGCGCCACCTCACCTGGCATTTTTAATAACTCTTTGCTACCCAGATCTACTCAGTTCCTGATGCTGGGTAACATGACCCACATACGAAAGGCACTTACAGTGGTGTCCAGGACACAGGAAGCCTATAAAAGGGTTTGGTAGGGCTGGGGATTTAGCTCAGTGGCACAGCGCCGGCCTGGCAAGTGCGAGGTCGTGAGTTCGATTTCCGGTACCAGGGGAAAAACAAAAAAAAAGTGTTTGCTGTTTGTGCCTAACCATCGGCCAAACAGACTCACCCAGTTGGATTCATTCCAGCTCAGCAGTGTCTCTGCCAGCGTGCCTCACCATGCTGCAAGGCCACTGCCCCTGCCTTTGATGAATGGTCGTCAGCCCCGCTAATGGAGAGTCTGTGACTCCTTCCTCTTACTCATTTCACAGATATTACTGAGCCCCTAGGCTGTTCAAGGTGCAGCAGTACAGGACTGTGATGAACTAGACAGGCAGTCCCAAACCTGTAACCCCAGCACTTGGGAGGCCGAGGCAGGAGGATTCCTATGAATTCAAGCCCCCGCGCCCCCCCCCCCCCGACTACATAGTTCAAGGCCAGTTTGAACCACATAGACCCTACATCCAAAAAAAAAGCGCAGGCAGTCGAGACCACAAAGTGAGTTCAAGGCCAGCCTGAACTACATAGTGATACCCTGTCTCAAAAAACGGAAAAAAGGGGGTGGGGAGCAAGGAGGCCTCAGTTTGCAAAGCAAGGGGCAAGCTCTCACCTGACACCAAACTCACTACCACCTGGATCAGGGGCTCCCAGCTCCAGAAGCCTGAGAATGTACACTTCTGTAGTCTAAAACCACTCAGCCTATGGTATTTTGTTATGGCAGCCTGAACAAAGTAGCACAACAAAAATACATGATGTTTTGTGATTTCAAGGACTCAAAATGAGTTCCTTCAGGGAATCAGGAAATTTTAATAGGAGCTAATGATGAGTTTCAGTTTTTTGAGACACGGTCTCCAGTTGTAGTTCAGGCTGGCCTGGAACATACCATGTAGCCCTAGCAGGCCTGGATATACCTGGGACTGCCATGTGTACCAGCACGCCCGCTCCTGAGCTGGTACTGCATCTACCTGACCATAGGGAGGGACATTTTGTTTCTGTTTTTAAAACACTTTTGGTCTTTGGTGCTGGGATTTGAGCATAAGACCTTCACACATGGCTCGATCACTGAGCTGCACCCCTGGCCTATGTAAATCACTTTCTCCTTGACATTACTGTGACAGTTGAAGACGTCTTGAGAGCCCTTCCACCTGCAGAGCCCTGACACCCCGGGGGAGTCAGTGCAGGCCCCAGTCGAGAGAACTGCAGCGGTGAGGGTCCCTTGCAACACAGGGATCTAGGGGGAGTGGAGAAAAAGTTCCTGCTTTTTTGTTTTGTTTTTGAGACAGCTTTTTTTTTTTTTTTTTTTTTTTTTTGTGGTACCGGGGATCAAAGTTAGGACCTTACGCTTGCCAGGCAGGCGCCTGTGCCACTGAGCTAAATCCCCAGCCCCTGAGACAGGGTCTTGATATGTAGCATAAGCTGGCCTTGAACTCACTTTGTAGCTCAGGGTGGCCTCGAACTCTCGGCGATCCTCCTGCCTCAGCCCCTCGACTGCTGGGATTACACCTTGCGCCCCGACGCCCAGCACATTCCTGCTTCTGAGCCCCTGGGACTGCAGCACCTCCCAGGTTCTCCAGGTCAGCGCTGCAAAGTCCGCCTCCGCAGAGCCCCGCCCGAGCCTCGGCCGGTTTCGATTTCACGATTTGACGGGTCGAGGGCTCCCAAAACCGGTAGAGGAGGGTGAATCCTAACCGAGCTGTCTCGATTTGCGAAAAGGAAACTAACTGATCCTCGGTTGGAGAACGGGCTCGCTGAGGCCCACACCCGCACCCTGGCGTCTGCCCGTCCTCCTCCACCTCCTCTTCCCAGCTACCTGTTGCCATGGTGATGAGCGCCGGCGCGGGCTGCGGCTCCGGCGGCGAGCGCAGGAGGCAGGACAGGCTGAGGGCCGGGCTGGTCACGCTGACCATCAGCCACGCCCCGTCCAGGGCCCGCGGGCAGCTCCGCTCCGGGCTCAGGCGGCGGGCCCAGGTCGCAGGGGTAGGCAGCGGCACGAAGCGGCTCATCTCGCAGCGCGGCGCCGCGGCGCCCCGGGGAAGGCGGCGGAGGGCGGCGAGGAGGGCGCCCGCGGGGTCTGCGAGGCGGAAAGCGGGGGCGCTCAGAGTCGGGGCCGAGGGGGGCGTCGGGAGCGTCAGACGCGCAGACCGCTGCGGGGCGACGGCTCTGGGGAGCCCAGAGGACTGGCACGGGGAAACTGAGACGCGAGGTTCGCGCGCGACCCGCGGAGGAGGGAGTTCGGGAGCCGCGACGAAGGCGGGGCGCGTCCCGAGACTCACCGTCCACGCCGAGGTAAAGCTGGGGGTCCAGGTCCGGCCGGGGCGGCGGCGCCCAGGGGCCCTGGCGCAGCAGCAGCGCCGCGGGTCTCTTCTCCAGGGCGCCCCCGCCCAGATCCTCCACGAACCAGCACTCGAGCGCCGCGGGTCCGGCCGAGGCTGCGCGCGCCAGGCCTGGGGGCGGGAGCGGGATGCAGGGACCGCCGACCCGCGGCCGGACGCCCGCCTCCTTCCCCCCGCTGCCCGGCCCGGCCCGGCCCGAGGCCGCGCGTTCCTCACCCAAAGCCAGGGCGAGGAGCAGGGACAGGGGCTTCATGGCGCCGCGTCGCGTCCCGTCCCGGCTGCCGGTTCTGAGGCCGCCTCTTCCCCTTTCGCTTTCACTTTCCTCCCGACCCGGCGGGAGGGGCCGGGGATCCCCGCGGGGAGGCGGGCCGAGGGCACCCTCCGCCGGCCCGGCCGGACCCGCACAGCCGCTGCCCCTCCCGGGCACCCCGGCCCCGCCACAAGCTCCCCGCGGCGTCCCCGCGCTCCCGCACCTGCGCCAGGTCCCCAGCAAACAGAGGGCTCGTCCGGAAGCCGAGTGAAACGACCAATAAATATTTTAATCACTGTTAAAAATAATGAAAACCTGTGCTACGACTTACTCCTCGTCTCCGCGCTCCTTCGTGAGAACTACGTTGGGGACCCATGGGAGGTGTGTGGGGGACACGTGTGGCGATGTGCGGGAGGGGCGAGGTCCGAGGACAGTGGAGGGGCTCTAAGGTCTGTCGCCACGACACGAACACAGACTCCAGGCACAGACGACAGCACCCCGCCCCGCGACCCGAGGGTGCTCAGGGCCCGCCCGGGTCGCCCCACCTGCTCCGAGGGAAGACCTAGTCCCGGGGCACCTCGGGGAGGAAGGGCTGCGACGCGGAATGGGCTGGCGATAGTGCAACGTGGTTTCCTCTCCGTGGGGCGCACGTGTCCAGAGAGATAAAGGAAGACCGCAGGGGCGCGGGCGCTCGGGGCACGGAGCCCCCGGTCGTGCCCGACTGCCGCCAGCCGCCAGCCCCCTAGTTCGCCCCGCCGCCGCCG